AAAAGCCACCAAAAAAAGTGAAAATAGTATGCTTTGATCTGCATTCAGACTCTATAGTTCTTTCTCTGCATGTGGGCATTATTTTCCATCATGAGTCTTTTGAAATTGTCTTATATCATTGTATTGCTGAGAAGAGCTAAGTCAATCATTGTCGATTAACGCACAATGTTGCTGTTACTGTGTACAATGTTCTCCTGGTTCTGCTCACTTCACTCAGCATCAGTTCATGTAAGTCTTTCCAGGTTTTTCTGAAATCACCTGCTCATCATTTCTTATAGCACAATAGTATTCCATTACATTCATACACCACAATGTGTTCAACCATTCCCCAAATGTTAGGCATTCTCTCAATTTCCAATTCTTTGACACTACAAAAAGAACTGATATATTTTTGTACATTTAGGTCCTTTTCCCTTTTTTATGATCTATGGGATACAGACCTAGTAGTGGCACTGCTGGATCAAAGGGGATGCAGTTTAATTACCCTTTGGGCATAATTTCCAATTGCTCTTCACAATAGTTGAATGGTTCACATCTCCTCCAACAATAGCAGGGTATTTTAAATTCTCTTATCTGTATCAATTTGAGGCAATGACTTTTAAAATACAATGTTCTTTATCTAGTCATGGATGTTGCAAATAGTTCTTTAAAAGAAAGAATACTAATAATCTTGGCAAAACAACTGTCTAAGGACAAGGTGACTGTTTAGATTGGGTGGCCATTATCAACTTTCCACCTTTAACCTGATATAAGGCCTAAATGCAACCCAAAAGAAAATGGTTTGGGATCTAAGGAGAGAACAGGACAGGACAGAACAGGAGAGGAGAGGACATCTACTAATAAAAGCACTTTGCTAAATGCTAAGGCAACATAAAAAAGCAAGAAGTTCACATTCTAACAGGAGACAACACATACAGGAGATTTTAACTCTAAATCAATGGAAAAGCCCAGTGGTCCTTCTCTAAGGTCATGTCTATTAATTTCATCATATCCATTTCTGATGTTCAACTATCTGACAAAGCAAAAATACTTTTAGACCACTCTCAACCTCTTCTGCAGCTGCTGCCTCCTTCCTATAATTCCAATACTCCTCCTCATTCAGCCTCCTACAGAATAAAACATAAGAACTTTGCTTTTCAAAAATGCACCATCCACCCTGCCACACACACCTCTTACAAGCATTCTGCATTCCTTGGTGCTCAGTAAAACAGTCATTGCTTAGAATGTATGAGTATACTCCCTGGATGGGCTATATACTCTCTATGTGGGCTAGTAAAGAGAGTACTCAAAACCACTTCTCAGGCATACTTTGTACTTCAGTGCAGAAAAGGTGTCCTTGTACTCTATTCCCAAAGCATTCTAGTTAATGGCAATTTTACTATTGTTGGCATTATGAAGAAATAGCTACTGGATCCCCATACTATAGCCACATCTTCTTTAAGTAGTTAAGGACTGATCCCATCAAGTACAGGTAATTTCCAGCTTATTAATGGGTGTGTTCTGTAAATTCTTTACTTTCTTTTTAACCACATTATTGCAATATTTTGGTTTAACATTGCTTTCATTTCCATAAGCATCTCTTTTTCTGTCCCAATGAACTCTCCTTAGTAACAAAGTATAAGAGGAGGAGAAAGCAGTACAGCAAAACCAACCAAATATATCAACTAACAGTATACGCACAACCATACCTCACAACTCTTCAAAGATATGGGCAGGACATGCATTTTCTTAACACTTATCTCAAACCATAAATTCTTTTCTAAGTGATCTGTTTAGAATTTAAATCACATTTTCTCACACAAATAATATTTTAAATGGTAGCTAGATTCACAAGCCAGCCCACAAAAGCCCATTCAACTTATACCTAACCGACATTTACAAGACTGTTTCTATGGGAAAATGCATTCCAAGTTCCAACTTGGCTTCAGGAATACTCAGAATCAGACATCAGCAGTAACCTCTCCATTTCAAGTGGTGCTTTGGAGGCTAAGACAGTACAGATATTATGAAAATGACAGTAAATATAAGATAAGGTCAAACATTTTCCAGGCATTATGAATTAAAGAACAGATTTCTGTTCCCAAATTGTTGCATTTGTTCATAAGTTTGAAATTCCCTGTACAAAAAATATTGGTAGAAAAATCAGATGGCACGAGCAATCATGTAACTTTTTGAAGAAGTGTTATAACTAAAATATTGTACATGTTTTTAAATCCACTTTATCCTTCCTAAAAGTTGTATGTTTAATTTAAGAAAAAAATTTAAGCAGCAGTTTTCATACTCCCTAACTACAACATAACCCTTTTTCTTGTGTATGTAAACAGATTTTATAAACACCTAGCACACTAAGCATCAAACTCTTATATTCCAAATGCTAATACAGTGTTTCTCAGTTGTAACTCTGTTCATAAAAATAGGACTAAGAATTGTATCATAACACAAACCACAAATGTTTCTTGAATATTCAATACAAATCAATGCTTTTTAAGAATTCTCAAAAAAGTTTGCTAATGGCAATTCCCAATCCAGTGTCAATAGATAGGGGCACCTAGGTGGTGCGGTGGATAGAGCACCAGCCCTGGAGTCAGGAGGACCTGACTTCAAATCCTGCCTCAGACATAATACTCACTAGCTGTGTGACTCTGGGCAAGTCACTTAACCCCAACTGCCCTCACCAAAAAAAAAGAAAAATTGATAGATAAATAAATAGGTCTAAAAGGCAACAGAGTTCAAGCTCAGTGTGATGGAAGGAGCCCTAGAACAGGAGACCTGTTCACAGTCCTTCATTAGTAGTGTGACCTTGGCCTGGTTACAGGCTACCTCTCAAGAGCAATTTCTCCATCTGTAAAATGAACAAAATGATCTCTCATGTCCTATCCAACTATAAAATTCTATGAGCATCAGTGCAATACAGCATCTACATGAGATATAAAAAAGAAATGTTAAGTAGAATTTTTTAAAAGTTTCCAAAAATTCAAGCTTCATAGTAGAACTTCTATTTGGAGGCTATTTCCATGATTAACTTTTCTTTAGTTGGTCACATCATCTACAGGGTTTTAAATCCAGGTACTAAAAATCTGCAACCACCATTTATCTATAATGGCAATTTTTTTTAAATGTCCAGACCCAGAAAGAGAAACCAAGATTTTGACAACAAACCAAAAATAGTACAAAACTAATTCTCCCTTTCCCCTGCCCTGGATAAAAAAAGGGGGGGGGATTAATTTGGACCTCAACACTAATTTAAGTAAAAGAAATTTTCAGAATTAAAAGCAACTTATTGATCCAATTTCTGAATTCCTATAGTCTTTGTTTTGTTCTTTTGTTTTTGTTGGGGGGGGAGATACCTGTAATTTCAATGTTATAGGGAACTCCCTCCTGAATGAGAAAACTACCACCAATGCAGATTAGACACCTGCTCTGACGTTTATCGTCTTAGTTGTTGCCTGAATCACTAAGGGGTTAAGAGACTTTCCCAGGGTCAGACAGGAAGTATAGCCCTTAATAAATGTTTGTTGAATGTCAGAGACAGTCCTTGAATTCAGATGGTTCCAAGTGTTCTCTATCCACTCCACTAAGGGGCCTTTCAGTCTTAGTTGAAAAATGAAAAGAGAATAGGAATGGTCAGCACTTCGGCAGTGGGGGACTGACACTTGCAGGTGTTTCGAAGTTTAGACTAAAATGAATTTTTCTTACACGATACATGTCATGATCACTCTTGGTGTATCTGAAATCCAGAGCCTTAATATAAGGGTCTAAGAAATACTGTCAGGCATAGAAGAAAGGAATATGTCACCTTGCTCTGGAGCAGACGCAGTGAGAGAGGACTTTACAGTTATCTCAGAAGGGAAGAGTCCCTGGTCTTCTATTTTTTAAAGGAGAGAAGAAACTAAAGTAAATCTTGTCAAATTACAGAGCTGGATGATAAGTTTATTTGGTTGGTTCCCAGGTTGGGAAGCAAAGAATCTGGGAGAAAAGAAACTACCACAGCTTTGGTAGAGATTTCCCACCTTCTGAAGGGGGAAGGAGTGGGGTTTACTGGGGGGGGGAGGAGTATGTGTATGTGTGTGTTTTAAGTCGAGGGAGTGCTGCAATCGAAGGATACCCTCCTTCATTCCTTGGTCTCCCTCTCTCCCTCTTCTGTCTGGGAGCAAACGAACAGAACTTCCCAGCCAGCATGGCAAGGAGAGAAAGTCTGGTAATCTTAAATGTTGGTGGTTAATTTCAGAGGACTGGAAGAATGCCACGCTACCCTCCTCCTGACAGTGAGGTGACGGAACTAAAAGTGCAGGACAAGAGACACATTTTTGGAGAAGACCAATGTGGTAACTCGTTTTGGTTGACCATACATATTCGTTACAAGGTTTTTTTTCTTTTCCTTTTCAGCAGGAGAGGAAGAAAATACAAATATATTTAACAACTAAAAAAATACAACTTAATTTTTAAACACTCTAAACTTGGTGGGAGAAAGTGACTACATAAAGACAAGGAAAGTAGAGACGCTTCAACCTGGGGCTTTTTGCGGGGAGGGACCAAAAGTCCAACATCTTGGGACACTAGATTAAGTCAATCAATAAACATTTATTGAGCGCCTACTATCTGCCAAGCTCTGTGCCAAGCTCTCCTAGAGATGTATATACATAGAAAAGTAAAAGACAAGTCCTTGCCCTCCAGGAGTTCGCCAATGAGGAAGACAACATGTAAACAACTATGTGCAAACAAGTATGTACAAACAATGGGATAAATCAGACATCATCAACCGAAGGAAGGCAGCAGAATACGATGGGGAGACCCCGGGATCTCCGTTTAGGTGGGCTGCGGTGGAAAGCACGGGTTGTGAGCGCCCGGAGACCTCCCCTGGACGGCATCCCCGGGCTAGGGGCCGAAGGTGGGGGAGGCCTGGGGGACGGGGGTGGGGGGAGGGGAGAAGCCTATTTTTGAAGTCGTCCCCCCCCCCCAAAGCGCCTCCTCGCCCCGCGCCCGCCCGGGGTCTCACTCACCAAGCAGTTTGTGCACCTCCTCCTCGCTTAAGTAGAGGCTCACGCTGGGCCCCACGGCCGGGGGCAGCGGGAGCGGGAACCGCTCGGCGGCCGCGGCCGCGGGGACCCCGGCCCCCGGCTCGGGCAGCAGAAGCAGCAGCAGCAGCGGCAGCGGCGGCAGGAGCAGCAGCGGCGGCGGCGGGGGCAACCCCGGGGCCCGCAGGCCGAGGCCCGGCCCGGGGAGCGGGAGGCGGCCCCGGCCCCGGCCTCGGCCTGGCTGCGGCAGCTCGGGCCACTCGGCCCCGCTCATGTCTGAGCCCGGGGGCGCCGAGGAGGAGGAGGAGGAGGAGGAGGAGGAGGAGGAAGGGGGCGCGGAGGAAGAAGGCAGCGCCGCCGCCGCCTCCTCCTCCTCCTCGACTTCGACCCCCACCCCCGGCCCCGAGCCCCTCACAGCCCCGAGCCGGGGGCGGCCCCCCAGCTCATCTCCCCGGCCCGTGGCAGCCAACCGCCGCTTCAAACCTCCCGAGCGCGCCTCCGCCTCGGCCGCATCCTCCCCGACCTGCCCGCGCGCTTGCCCGCCCAGCACTAAGGAGATCCGTCCGCTGGGGGCGGGCAAAAGGGGAAGGCGCGCGCGCGGGCGCGCCGCCGGCCTCCGCCTCGCGGGAGCGAGCGCGTGCCAGACGGCTCGCTCTCCTCTCCCTCCTCACACCTCGACCGCCCCCGCCTGGCCCGGGAGCGGACCTTGCCCTTGGACCACGAAGCGTTGGGGAGGGAGGGGGGAGGGAAGGCGCCTCCTCCCTGCAAATCCATCCTAGCGCTTGCCTCCGGACTTGAGCACAGCCCACGGCCGTCTCCAATTTCGCCTTCTCGGGAAGGAGATGCCAATCCCCCTCCCTCTCATTTTTTTCTGTGACATGGTGGTGGCTGAGGACGCGTCTTTTACAAACTTTTGTGCTTAAGCCAAATCCCCCCCCTTCACCTCCTCCCCGCCAGCTTCAGCTTTTGTCCAGAGCATCCAGAAACAGCAGCTGGTCCCGAGGAGAAGCGCAGGCATGATGTGTGCAGTTGTCGATCGACAGACTTTGAACTATTTTAATCTTTTTTTTTTTTTGGAGGGGGGGAGGGTTAGAGAGGCTAAAATCATAGAACCTCAGAGCTGGAAGGAACCTTGGAACAGATCTAGTAATCCAACCTTCCCTCTCCCCTAAAACAAATGAGTAAACTGAGGTCCAGAGGATGTTAGATTTAGAGGTTAATCTAGTTTAAATTCCAAATTTTACGGATTGAAAGACTAAGGCCAAGAGAGGGTAAGTGATGTGCCAGCAGCCATTCACCTTAAGAAAGTGGCAAAGCCGAGAGAAAGGACCCAGGTTTTCTGATTCGAGCTCTTTTCACTGCAGTGCAAATAGTGGCAGAGCTGGGAATAGGGTTCAGGGTTAGCCGTAGCCGCAGTGCATCAGCAAGTGAGATAAAATCCAAATTCTGCTAGCTGTGAAGCCACGAGCAAGACACTTAGGCTCTCTGATCCTCAATTAACTCACCTCTAAAATGTGGAGGATGGATTGGATAATAGTGAAGGTCCATCCCTCCCTGCTCTAACTCCTAGTGGCTTGCTTTTTTTTTTGGCCCGGTTTTTCCCTAAAGATGGGTGATGGGATACTGAAGCCTACATGTCTAATAATTCTCTGTCTGGAAAGTTCAAGTAAACTTTAGTATATTAAACTTTGAAACTGTAAGGATGAGTGAGGAGGATTTGATGAATGAGAATCAGAAAAGGGAAAATTGACAAAGTACCCTACCTACTCTTGCTGGTCCTGCCAGTGCCAGAGTTTTAATGATAAATGTTTCAGGGGGTAAAATTATCATTTGTACAAACAGAAAATCATTTTGTACTTTCAACTCAGTCTGAGGGATTGTTTGAGAAAAATTTTCCTCTTAAAAAAACTCCAGTGTTTTTGTAAAAATTAACATACAATTTAGAGTTTTTGAAACAAAACTTTGCTATTGTCTCTTTGCAATGTTGCATCTACATCTTGAGCTTTATGTAGAGGGTGAAGTTAGCTAGAATAAGATTTGGATTTAGAAAGGCCTGTGTTCAAATCCCACTTCTGACAGTTTCCCCATTTATAAAATGGAAATAATATTGGTGCCTGCCTCACAGGATTGTTGTGAAAATCAAATAGGATCAAATAGAGATCATAGAATCACAGATTTAGAGCTGCAAAGGACCCTCAATGGTATTTAAATCCAATTTCTTTTTTTTATAGATGAGGAAATTGAGGAACACCGAGGTTAAGTGACTTGCCCAAGGTTGCACAGCTATTAAGTGTCAGAGCTGGGACTCTAACCCAAATTCTAGGACTCCAAATCCAGAAAACTTTGAAAATACAAGTTCCTTGTGTCGAAGCAGTGTTGTTTAGCCATTTTCCACTAACTCCCACTACTAAATACAAATAAACTGGAAAAAAAAAAGGCCAAAGTCCCCAACTGTATCCTGGGCTATTGCCAGTGGTCCTAACCCATGTCTTGCCATTAGACACCAATGACTGGAGGAGAGAATGGGGCTAATGATTTTGCACAGCTCTGCTTCACTTAAATCCAGTTCACTTGCAAGTCAAGACATCACCCTTTTGATGTCATTGGTCCTCTTCAAGAACTAAGGATGAACAACAAGAAGTAATAAACCAGGATTTTCCAATCCTTATGTGAAGGTTTCTTAATCTTGTAATAAAAACCCAATAGTGAAGTAAAACAAGTCCATCTTTTCCAATCATCTTCTCCCTTGCATAGGTTGCTATTGCTATATTCCTTCCTATGTCCTTCCCTCTTCTCTCAATATGTCTTTCCCTCCACCTTACAGATTTAGGAATAGATGACCTACTACATCTAATTTGATAGTACCCTCTGGCATCCCCCACTAGTCCTTATGAACCAAGTCCAATACATTTCTTTTCCCATTTCTCCCATCCTTCTCTTTGTTGTTTTTTGGATATGTGTGTGTGTGTGTGTATGTATATATGTGTATGTATGTATATGTATATACCCTTAGGAGATTTTTAAAAGTTTTATTGAATGCCTTTTATTTTATGTTACACTCATTTTCCAATATGCTGCCACATTGAACCCTCCTTCTTAACGTAGAAAAAAGACTGAAGCAAAACCAAAGCAATCAGGGTGGAGCCAAGATGGTGGAATAAAGGCAGGGACTCACTTGAGCATTCCCAAATTCCCCTCCAAATAACTTTAAAATAATACCTCAAAGCAAATTCTGGAGCAGCATAAACAACAAAAGGATTGGGTGAAACATTTTTCTAGCCCAAGACAATTTAGAAGGTTGGCAGGAAAGGTCTGTCTCGCAGGGGTGAGAATGAAGCACAGTCCAGCACCAGAGCTCCCAGGTCAAGGAGAAAATATTGCAAGCAGCCAGAAAGAAACAATTCAAATGTCATGAAACCACAGCCAAGACAGCTCAAGATTTACATTAAAGGCTCAGAAGGCTTGGAGTATAATATTCAGGGTGGCAAAGGAGCTAGGTTTATAACCAAGAATAACCTACCCAGCAAAACTGAGTATAGTCCTTCAGGAGAAGAGGTGGATATTTAATTAAATAGAGCACTTTCAAGCATTCCTGTACTGATGAAAAGACCAGAGCTGAATAGAAAATTTGACTGTCAAATACAAGACTCAAGAGAAGCATAAGGTGAACAGGAAAGAGAAATCATAAGGAATTCAATAAGGTTAAACTGTTTACATGGGAAGGTGATGATTGTAACTCCTAAGAACTTTATCACTATTAGAGTAGCTAGAAGGAGTATACATAGACAAAGCGAATGGGTATGAGTCGACTATGATGGGATAATATCTTAAAAAAATGAAATTAAGGGATAAGAAAGAGGGATACACTGGGAGAAGAGGGAAGGGAAAAGTAGAATGGGGTAAGTTATCTCACATAAAAGAGGTGTGAAAGAACTTATACAGTGGGGGGAAGATGACAGTATGGAGGACAATGCTTAAACCATACTCTTGGAATTGGCTCAAAGAGAGAATAACATATACACTCAGATGGGTATACAAATCTATTTTACCCTATAGGAAAGTAGGAAGGGAAGGGGATAAGAAAAGGGGGCAGAGCTGATAGGGGGAGGGGGAGAGAAAAAGAGAGAGAGAGAGAGAGAGAGAGAGAGAGAGAGAGAGAGAGAGAGAGAGAGAGAGAGAAGAAAAAGAAGAAGAAATGGGGAAAATGGGATGGAAGGACTTACAGAGTAATCATAACTATGAAAAAAATTACAGCAAGTTTCTCTGATAAAGGCCTCATTTCTCAAATATGTAAAGAACTGCATCTCATAAGAATACGACTCATTCCCCAATTGATAAATGACCAAAGGATATAAACAAGCAGTTTTCAGACAAAGAAATCAAAGCTACCTATAGTCATATAAAAAAAATGCTCTAAATCACTACTTATTAGAGAAATGCAAATTAAAACAACTCTGATGCTCTATCTCATATCTATCAGACTGGCTAATATGACAGAAAAGGAAAATGACAAATGATGGTGGGGATGTGGGAAAATTGGGACATTAAAGCACTGGTGGTGGAGCTGTGAACTGATCCAATCATTCTGGAGTGTATATGAAACTATGCCCTAAGGGCTATCAAAATGTGCATATCCTCTGACCCAACAATACCACTACTAAGTCTGCATCCCAAAGAAATTTTTTAAAAAAAGGAAAAGGACTTATATGTACAAAAATGCTTATAGCAGCTCTTTTTGTGGTAGCAGAGAATTGGAAAATGAGGGGATGCCCATCAACTGGAGAATGGCTGATTGAGTTAGGGTATATGGTTGTGATGCAATGCTAATGTGTGACGAGAAATTATGAGCAGAATGCTTTCAGAAAAACCTGGAAAGATTTACATGGACTGATATAAAGTGAAGTGAACAGAACGAGGAGAACAAGGTACATAGTAACAGCAATACTGTTCAGTGATCAGCTATGAATGACTTAGGTATTCTCAGCAATACAATGATCCAAAACAGTTCTAAAGGACTTATGATGAAAAATGCTATCCATCTCCAAAGAAAGACCTGATGGAGTCTGGCTGAAGATAGAATATACCTTTTTAACTTTATTTTTCTTGGGTTTGTTTGTTATTTTTTGGGTCTGTGTTTTCTTTCACAACATGACTAATGTGGAAATTTGCATGACTGCATATGTATAACCTATTTAAAATTGCTTGCCTTCTCAATGATGACAGAGGGGATGGAGGGAAGGAGAGAGCTTGGAACTCAAAAATTTTTTAAAATGTTAAAAATTGTTTTACATGTAATTGGAAAAATAAAATATTATTTAAAGAAAACCAAAGCAATCATCTCAGAAAGCATATTCATCACTATACATCTATAGTCCCCTCCCTCCCTTTTGAAAGAGAAAAGAAATGTATTTCATCATCTGTTCTATTGCACCAAGATTGGTCATTAACAATTGATCAGAGTCTGGCTTGCTTTTCAGTGTGGTTTCATTTTCATTAATGTAGTTATTTGTTCTCATTAGACCTACTTCACATGGCATTATTTCAGCCAGGTGTTCCCATATGTCTCTGAATTAATCATAT